GCAGCCCTCAAATAAGATAAAGAAGAGAGTTTTGAATGAGTGCAGGGTAGGAAAAGCAGTAATGGATGATGAGACACCTGGGACCAGCTGCAAGCCTATGGCCTCTGGAGAGGTAGAGTCAACATACCCATGCGGATTGGTTTTATGTGTCAACCTGACTGGGCCAAGGGATACCCAGAGAGCTGGTAAAACCTTATTCCTGTAGGTTAATTGTTTGGAATCAATTAACAGTGGGCATCTTCCATTGCACTGTGGGCCCAACAAGAATGAAAAAGTGGAGGGAGGACAAATTTGCTCTCTTCTTGAGCTAAGACATCCATCTTCTCCTGCCCTTGAATGATAAAATTCCTTCTATATCTCTATCCTATTGGTCCCATTTCTCTGGAGAACACTAATACAATACCATCAAGGAGAGGGCAAAGAGCTATGCCCTGACCTACCTTACCCCTCCCCTGTCTCCTGCTGGCAACCGCCACTGGCCACTGAATGGGAACCAGGGTCAAGAGAGCCCATGGGTGGAGTCCCTCAAGATTAGCTTCCAAAAGCACCAAACAGGTGCAGAAGAGCTGTGGAATGGATCTAGAGGAGCCAGTAGAAAAATCCAGCCCAGGGCAGATCTGTAGGAAATAAGGAGAGGTCTTAAGAAAAATGTTCCAGTCAAGAGGGAACACAAGACAAAGGTAGTGAGATGGGACAAGTGTGGCTGAAGCAGATGAAGAAGCTGAGGGTGGCAAGAGGTGGGGGTCAAAATAGGCAGATATGCACACACACACACATATAGATATAGATATCACACAGAAGAATTAAACTGCATGTTATTCTGCTCTATAACTTTTCATTTTTACTTCAAGTAACTTTCCATTTCAGTACATAACACACCTGTGCCTCTTTTTTCAATGCTGTATGGTGTCCCACTGTAGCAATGTGTCATAATTTACTTAATCAATTGAGAATTTTAAAAAATTTTAATTACTTAGAGAAAAATTTACTAACATGACAGGTCAAATAAAATGATAGTAATGCATATTAAAAACAAAACTAAAGAAACACTCAAAGTTAAATTCATAGTATTAAATACTTATATTATTTCAAAAGTGAATAAATTTTAAAAGTGAATGAAATAGTTAATTTCCAAAGAAGTACCAAAAAGAGAAAGGAGCCAGCCCTAAGGAAAAATCATAGTTCGAAAGTAATGAAAACCTACGAAGGAACAAATTTATTAGAAAACAGGACAGTAGTAAGAACAACAAATGCAGGAAGTAGTTATTTAGGACAAAAACAGTAAAACAGACAAGACTCTGGCAAACCTAAAAACTTAAAATTCTGTTGAAATCATGAGTGAATGTATGCTTAATTACAGGTTAATATATCTAAAAAGCTCTGTGAAATGGATGACTTTCTGAAACTTTTAAAGGATGAATTTAAGAAATAGTAAACTTTAATGGTAGACAAGAAGAAATTGAGAACACCATTAAAAAACTATTTTTCATAAAGATTTCAAGTGCAGGAGGTTTTATGAATAAATTCTTGTAAAAATTTAAAGAACAGATAATTCCTAGACAGAAGGTTCCAGAAGATAGAGAAACACGGAAAACTATGTAATTCTAATTTATTTCATAAAATGGTGACATAACGCTGATGCTAATATCCATTCACAATGTTTTAAAACGCAGACTAAAACAAGAGGCTGGGTTTTCATTTGTCTGTTTTGCTGATCCTAGAGTTGGCACAATGGGAGTAAAAGTGGACACAGCCTCTGGGAAAGCATTTGGGAATATCTGTCAAAGTGTGAAATGCCCACGTGTACTCTTACACCCAGTGATTTCAGTGCCAGGAATTTCTGTGGAAATGCCGGTGTGAATATGGAAAAGCCTGCGTTTAAGGGTGTTCTTTTCAGCATTGTTGTGATGTGGCAATGACCTAAATGTCTTTCAATAGGAAATGGAAAGTTACTTTAAGTATTTATACTTTTATTATTAATTTCTAATAAGAGTGGACAGTGAATTTGGTCTACATTAAACTGAAGATTGTATTTTAGTTGGATTTTTTTTTACTTAGTATTTAGTCAAGGTTTTAAAGGTCCATTGAAATGAGGAACGATGTCTTTGTAAACCTTAAATATTAACTTAACTTTAAAAACACATTTCAATATACACTAGGTTCTTTACAGATTTTTTTCATTTGTTAAAACAATTGTGTAAAAGGGCAAATCCCGGATGACGCTGCTTACATGAGGTACCTAGAGTAGTCAGATTTTTAAGGACAGAAAGGAGAGCGGCGGTGGCCAGGTGCCAGAGGAGGAGGAAGTGGGGAGTCGTTGGTTAATGGGGACAGAGTGTCAATTTGGAGAGAAGAAAAGGTTCTGGAGGATGATGGTGGTGAGAGTGGCACAGCAATGTGAATGTTCTTTTTTTTTAAGATTTTATTTATTTATTTTTACAGAGAGGGGAAGGGAGAACTAGAGAAACATTGATGTGTGAGAGACACAGCAATCGGTTGCCTCTCACACTCCCCCACCCCCCCACTGGAGACCTCGTTGGCCCACAGCCCAGGCATGTGTTCTGACTGGGAACTGAACTGGCGACCTTTCAGTTAGCAGGCCAGTGCTCAGTCCACTGAGCCACACCAGCCAGGGCTGAACATTCTTAATGTCCCTGAACTGTAACTGACATATGTTAAAATTGTAAATTTTATTTATGTGGCTTTTGCCACAATACTTTAAAAATATTTTATTTATTTTTAGAGAGAGGGGAAGGGAAGGAGAAAGAGTAGGTGAGAAACATCAATGTGTGATTGCCTCTCATATATCCCCCACTGGGGACCTGGCCTGCAACCCAGGCATGTGCCCTGACTGGGAATCGAACCAGCAGCCCTTTGCTTCACAGGCCTGTGCTCAATTCACTGAGCTACACCAGCCAGTGCCACAATACTTCTTTTTTTTTTTTAATTTTATTTATTTATTTGTATTGATTATGCCATTACATTTGCTCTATTCCCCCCTCCCTTCCCCTCCACCCTGCATACCCCTCCCCCACCATTTCCCCCTTTAGTTCATGAACATGTGTCTCAAATTCTTTAGATTCTGTATTTCCCCTACTATTCTTACCCTCCCCCCTATGTATTTTCTATCTACTGTCTATGCTACTTATTTTCTGTACCTTCTCCCCCCTTCCCCTCCTCCCACTCCCCTGTTGCTAACCCTCCCTGAGATCTTCATTTCTATGGTTCTGCTCCTGATCTAGCTATCCTCTTAGTTTGCTTTTGTTTTAGGTGTGGTTCTTAATAACTGTGAGTTTGCTGTCCTTTCACTGTTCATCTTTTTTATCTTCTTTTTCTTAGGTAAGTCCCTTTAACATTTCATATAATAAGGGCTTGGTGATGATGAACTCCTTGAATTTGGTCTTATCTGAGAAGCACTTTATCTGTCCTTCCATTCTAAATGAAAGTTTTGCTGGGTAGAGCAATCTTGGTTGTAGATCTTTGGTTTTCATGACTTGGAATACCTCTTTCCAGCCCCTTCTTGCCTGTAAGGTCTCTTTTGAGAAATCAGCTGACAGTCTGATGGGAACTCCTTTGTAGGTGACTGTCCCCTTAGCTCTTGCTGCTTCTAGGATTCTCTCCTTCATTTTAATCTTGGCTAATGTAATTATGATGTGCCTTGGTGTGTTCCTTCTTGAGTCCAACTTCTTTGGGACTCTCTGAGCTTCCTGGATTTCTCGGAAGTCTATTTCCTTTGCCATCTTGGGGAAATTCTCCTTTATTATTTGTTCAAATAATTTTTCAACTGGTGGTTGTGCCTTTCCCCCTTCTGGTACCCCTATAATTCGGATGTTGGAACGTTTAAAGATGTCCTGGAGGTTCCTAAGCTTCTCCTCATTTTTCTGAATTCTTATTTCTTCATTCCTTTCTGTTTGATCATTTTTTTCTTCCTTCTGGTTCTCTCCCTTGATTTGAGTCCCAATTTTCTTTCCATTACTATTGGTATCTTTTGTATCCCCATTCATTTCAATAAATTTAGCTTCCATATGTTTCTCTAATTTGTGACTAAAGTCAACCAGTTCTGTAAGGATCCTTATAACCAGTGTTTTGAACTGTGCATCTGAAAGACTGGCTATTTCTTCATCACTTAGGTCTATCAGTTCTGGGGCTCTGAGTTGTTCTAGAGCCATTTTTGGTTTATTCGTGCTGTTAAGTGAGCGGAGCGAAGCCTTAGTTGTTTACCAGGACGGGGCGACCCAGGTCGCTGGTTTGTGACGCTGTGTGTGGGGGCGGGGTCAGAGAGGGAGCAATGGCGTTCCTCTCCGCTAGCCCAGCGCACCCAGTCACTCACACGCCTCGGGCTTGTTTATCCGATCCTAATTGTGCGAGCCTGCTGCACCTCGCGGGTTTCCCTTCTCACTGGTTTCTCCGCACGTAAATGCGCGCGACCGACCGACCCACCGCGCCTCTTCCCTGTGCGCTCCGGCAGCCAGCTCGCTGGCGATCAGCGCCCTCGGTTGCCTGCGCGCACCGCGCACCGCCCTGGGAATTTTTTCTTGCTAACCTGCTCTGCTGCTGGCCTCGCTCCTCGTACCGGTCCAGCCGAGTATCTAGTTGTCCTTTGGACTCCGTATTGTCGATTTTCCGTGTGGCTTGGTTGTGACTGCTGTTAAAAATAGTTGTTCTTAGATTTGCTTGTGCACAGAGGCGAGGTGGTCCATCTACGTCTCCATCTTGGCGGAAGTCCCACAATACTTCTTTTTAATCCTGTGATCTAGTTATCTCTATTTGTAGGTGATGCAATGAGGTTCTGAGGTCACAGGACTGATGTTTGTAGGGTCAGGATGTAAACTGAGTGATGCATATTCTAAGCCTTCAGCATTTCATCTCCCACTGTGAGAGCTTCAGAGGGTTGCTCCTGACGCCCAGTATTCCCCAAACTAGGGAACAGGATGTGACAGTTTCATGAAGATACCTCCAGTTCTCCAAGGGACAATTTGCTTTTTCTCATGTCTTCTCAGCCACCAAGGAACCCACAGAGGGGCCCACCAGCACCATTACCACCACCACAGTTGGCGTCAATGTCTCCGGGGAAGAGAGGAGCTCAGGGTCTTGGCCTCTGACTCCAGGAGCTACAGTTGGGGTGGCAGTGGCCAGTGCTGTGCTCAAAATCACAATTTTGGGACTGATAGTCTATCTCAGGTGGAAGAGAAGCAGTCCAGGTAAGCGATCCTTTCCCCCAGGCTCCCCACCCGGGTGTTTCTCAGCATCACCTGCACCAGGATGACTGCGGATTTCTGCTGGGATGAGGTCTGGACAGGGAATCTGCATTGTTAATAGTCTCCTCAAGTGATGACTGGGTGTGGCTGAGTTTGAAAACCACAGCTCTAAACCAACCCCTCTCCACAAGTCTGACTGTTATCCAGTTCTCTCTTAACTTAATCATTTATTAGTCCTCACCTTTTTGTTCATGGAGAAGGGTCTGCCCTGAAAAATTAAGGAGAGAGCAAAAGGAAGAGGAAGTTGGCTTAGCTCAGCAAGCATCGGTGGGGTACCCATTTTCCAGAGCCTGACTTGTAATTAGAGATACAGAGGTAAATAGAACAGAGATCCTGTTCTTAAGGAACTCAGTAAGGGAGAGAAGGGATTTGGGGCAGTTTGCCTGAAAGGCTTTTTGCCTCATTTGGAAAGAATTATAATAGTTGTGGACAAGAAAGGGGTAATCAAGGAGGACTTCTCGGAGGAAGTGGCACTTGCAAAAAGTCTCAAAGAATGAAAAAGAAGTAGCCAGGTAAGTGGCAAGGGTGGTATAGAGGTTACTGTTCTTCCAGGGGAAGGAAACCATTCTGGGAACTGTAAGTAGCTCGTGCTATGGAGGAGGCAGGAGATGAGAGAAGAGGACCTTGTAGATTATACCCAAGAGCCTCAAATCCCAGAGGCAACATGAAGCAGCCAGGTGGCAACCTCACTGTATCTTGGAGATACATAAAGTCTGCAGTGGAGGGACCAGGCATGGGCCAGCCTGAAGTCAATCTACTACAGTAGCACCTTGAGTGAAAGCAGAGAGCCAGATTCTTGAAAAGGTTAAAAGGGAACCAGTAAGACTTGGTGACTGGACTGATGTAGGAGTGAGGGAGCCAGAAGTCCCAATTTTACAACAAGGGTGTGATAAAACCACCAAGTGGTTAGGGAACATAGGAGGTCAAAGACGATGTTTGGGGATGAAAAATTATTCCTCCAGTTTGAGACACTTGTGTGGCATCTGAGTAGAGATGTCCATCCTTTACAGCTCAAGGAGAGGACCAGGCTAGAGGCATTTAATTATTTGTACCCCAACACCTTCCAAAATTGATTTGAAATGACTTTAAAGAAAATTTGCATGGAGAGACTTGCTCTCTTAGATATTAAAGCATAAAAATGAAGAGCACAGAATCTGACTGCCTGCAGTCAACCATGGCTGGGTCAATTCTGGCACAATGGCAACATTAATCTGTGCCTCAGCTTACTCATCAGTAAAATGGGGACAATAATTGTAATTAACCCAGGGGTTGCCATGACAATTAAACAGAATGCATTTAGAATAGACACTGGCACAGAGTAAGCACTAGATGAGCATTAGCATTTACAATTATTAAGCTACAATAATTAAAGTGATGCAATACTAGCATATAATAGATAAACAGATAACAGACAAAGTGACAAAAGAAAATTAAAAACTCAAATGTAGGCAGTATGAAAACGGACCCAGATGTGGAGGGAGTCAGCAGGTTGAAAGGTAGCCTGTCTAATCAATGGGGAAAGATGAGCAATTCAATACATAGTGCTGGAACAGTTGCATAGCCACCTGAGGAAAAAATAACATTACTCCCCTACCTCACAATGTGCACCAAAGTAAATTTCATGAAGATCAAAGATGTGAAGAAGAAAAAAAAAAGAAAGAAAAATATAACCCTAGTACCCGAAGAAAGCATGCGCTGGAGATGACTTTTTAAGTAAGACATAAAACTCAAAAAGCCATGAATAAAAGTATTGATAAGTTCAACTACATACAAACTGAGTTTAAATTCTTCGGTGCAACAAATACGACGGTCGTCTCCTGAGAGTGAGGATGAGGGTCAAAGATGAAGAGAAAATGTGACAGTCACTGAGGAACTGGAAGACTGTATTTAAGGATTTAACTCAGATGAGAAGCCATAAATCAGTAGAAGCATCGCAGCACATAACTGTGTTTTTCCTCAGCAGTATGCAGCTGTGCAGTTGAGTAATCCGTAGGGCCTGTCAATTAAAAGCTCTGTTTAGCAACTAGCATCAGAGACCAGAACCAACCATAGCTTAAATAACACAGTTTGTTGTTCCCGAATGAGAAAAATAATCTGGAGGCAGACAACAGAGGCTGCTGTCCTTAGGAACACAGGCTCCTGCCTTTTCGCTAACAGTTCCTGGATACTGACTTCTGTCCTGAAGGTCGCCTCATAGCCCAAGGTGGCTGATAAGATTCCTGCCATTATTTCTGAATCCAAGTAAGAAACAGAAAGAAGGAGGAAAGGATGAAAGACTATGTCCAAGTTGTCTGTCCCCCTTTTGAAGAGCCTTCCTGGAAGTCCTACCCACACGTCCCCTTATATCTTACTGGCCGGAGTTCAGTCATTTGTCCCACATCTATCTGTAGGGGAGCGCACAGCCACTCCAAATAAAATCAAGGTTCTGTAACTGAGAAAGAAGAGGTGAACGGATACTGGATAAGCAAATAGCGTGCCATGCCATACATGCATGCAGGGTTGGAGATTTGCCAGCTCGGTGTGGCAGGACAAGGGAACTCAAGAGGTCAAGGAGCTGGTGAAAGGGTCCCAATGGAGAGTGGAGGGCTCGCAGACATTCTAGGTAACCTGAAACAAGGGGCATTTTCAGGGGACAAGAGCTCAGGGAGGTCAAAGCATGGGTATGGGGGGAAGGTGACAAAAGAGAGCTGGGAGGAAAGAAAGTTGTAGCATGAAAATGATACTAGCATGTAGTTTTAGAGTTCTCATTCTCGGTGATTAAAAAAATAAAGGCCAGGGTATGGCTGAGTGAGGTGGAGGTCATTAGAGTTGGGGGGACGAGTGAGTCCAGTATGTTAGAGGACTGTCCCTGAGGCTCATGAGACCTCCCAGGAGGGTGGTTGGTGGTGGAGAGGATGTGTGTGAACCAGGGACCATATGCCTGGGAAATGCTGTACAGAGACTTGAGGAGGATCTGGAGGGGGGATAGGGTGTTTGTGGGGGGCGGTAGGTAACAGAGTCCTCAGTGGAAAAGAGGAACAGGCTGCAGTGCAAACACAGATTCCAGCCATGAGGTTCATGAGGTATGAGAAAGAGCCAGCACTCAAAAGGAAAGACAAGAAGCTGGTTTGTCAGGGCAGGAAGGAGCGATGGTGCCTGTGACAAGAGGGGGTAGTGAGGAGTGGGTGGCCAGGGCTCAGCAGTGGAGGGAGCAGGTTGGGGGATTGCAGGGAGGTCAAGGAAAGGGGAAGGACACGGACAGAAAGGCAGGGAGACGGGGCAGCGTGAAGGGGACATGGGGAGCAGAGAGCTTTCCTGATTTGGTGTTGAGGACAATAGCAGGACAGGTGTGGGTGGCTTTAGGGTGCCAGCTGGGTGCTTGCTCTGAGTCCCAGGCCCTTTCCACATGGGTTTCAGCAGAGCTGCTCTGCTGCCCTGGTCTCTCCAAGGATGGTGTCAGAGTAGGACAGAGCAGAAATGACAGGAGGAGAGACGCTGTTCGTGGATGCGCACTGACAGGCTGTTGATTCCTCTACAGGTCTGTGAACTAAAGCCAGAGCAGCAGACATGTAAGTGCTTGTCCTCAAAGGGCAACATGGGAGTTGGGTGGGGGCTGATTTGGGAAACAGAAAGTGCTGTTGTGAGAACAGCACTAGGGAGCTTTCACAGCTGTTTTCATCCTCCACTTTCCCATCCACATTTTCTTATGTTCCATGACAGGTCAGGTACTTCACTTACTAAGAACAGTATATTTAATTACTTTTTCTGATTCTTTCCCAGAATGTCTCCCTTTTCTCTTTCTCTGGTAACCGCTTTTCTCCTCCTTTCACGGGAATTTTTGCTTTTTCCTTCTGTTCATTCTATTTTCTTTCCACCTTGAACACCATCCTTCTCAAACACATTTCCTGTTCCACACTTTTCCTTCTTTCTTGCTCATTGTCCAATCTGCCTTTTCCCTGCTGAGGTGCCCGAAGGGGCCGCAGGAACCATGGCCTCCGTCACCTCTAACATCCGCCTTTTCTCTGAGCTCCCAGCCTGGCCTCCTCTCTTCCAGTCCTCCTCACCTTCCCACCAGTTTCCTTTTCCCCATCCTTCCCATTTCCACATTCTCCCTTCCCTAAGTCCCTCTCTCTCCTTTGACTTTTTGCCAGCTGCCTTCCTTGGTCCCCTGCCAAGGATGGCATCTCCTCCTGGGGACCAAGATCTGAGCACCCACCCAGGGGCCATGACATGAGCCTCCTGGTTTTCCTTCTCCAGTCTTAACTACGGCAGGGCCAGCAGAGGGGACAGGAACTCACCATTTTGATTTCTCCTCTTGTGCCCCCTTCCTACAAAAGGGGCTTCCCTAGAACAACCCTCTTCCTGCCGGCACTCAGGGACCTCTCCTGGGCTGCACCACAAATCACCTTTCAGCGCTCTTCCAGGCAGCCTCCTTCTGAGAGCCTCGAACCACTGCCTACACCCTCTAACTATGGCCAAGCAGGTCACGGAGCCTCCCACAAGAAAACCAGCCAGATGCAGGCTTTAACTCTTTTGTCTTCAGCCTCTGAGACATTTCGCACCCTTTCCTTCCCATGCAGGGGATCCTTCCATAACACTGAGGAGAAGTATGAGAACATTGGGAATACAGGTCAGTTCCAGCACCGTCACTGCCCACTCTCCACCTTGGCCCTTCCTTCTTCCCCACACTCTCTGCCCACACCCATGCCCCTCAGCCTTTTCCTCTTTCCCCTGCTTCTCCCATCCCTCCCACGTGACCCTGGTCCTCCACTGGCAGATGACCTCACTGCTGAGCCCTCCACCCACTTCTCTACCCTGGCTGCCATGCCATCTGACCCTGGCACATCTTGATTTTTTTTCCTAGGACAACAAGAAGACCCCAAGCTGGACCCAAAGGTAAGCAGCTCAGACTAGAGTCTGAAAGAATTAAAGGGAAGCTTGGAGAAGGTAGGGTGGAAATATAGAGGGGCTGTGGTATCGGCAGGGCTCTTAGGTGTGGGACCGGTGCTCTCAGACAGGGTCAACTCCCCTCCACCTCCAGCCCCTTCTCTTTCTGTTCTCACCCAGGTGGATGGCACCCTCTATGCCTCCCTCGTCCTCACCAGCTCGACCTCACCTCCAGCACCTCCCCGCCACCTTCTCCACAACAACCCCCAGGAAGAGACCCTATACTCTATGCTAAAGGCCTAACAAGTGGAACTGAATGATGACCTCTTTACAGTAAGCCACTCGGAGGGATCGCCACTTCCCATATTAGTCCCAGCCAGTCCCAGATGACTCAGAAATCAACAGGGATCAAAGGCCACCGAGGACCTGAGACAAACAGCCATCTGTTCCAGTTCCCTCTTCAACTGCTTGCCCACAAAAAATAAAAGAACAGGAACTCACCATTTTGATTTCTCCTCCTGTGCCCCCTTCCTACAAAATCCTGTAGGATTTATCTAAATGCATCTAAGGAGAAAAATGATGTCATCTTCAACTTCTGTCCTTCTTGGCAAAAATGAACTATAATAGTGCATACACAAGGTCCTCCTCTAGTACTTTTATTCAGTGACTGCGAGTCCCCAAATACTGGTAGGCAGCCTGGAATCCAAATTCTGCCCCCCAGTCTAATCCTTCTACTTCTCTTACAGTTATAACTGGCATCATTTAAGCCTTTACAGGCATCACCTCATTTAAATATAAACAACCCTATTTTAGCAAAGTGGTAAAAGTGGGAGCGGGTTGAGCAAGAAAGTAAATGGAAACTTATGAAAAAGGAATCCGCCAGGATATAAAGGGACAGCGGTGGCTCTGGGTGCAGATGCTGACCAGTTTTCAGGGAAGGTGTCTTGAAGCAGAGATAGCCGGAACAATGGTCTTTGTTTTCTCTGTGAATAAGTGCTGCCCCCTTCTGGGAGCGAGGAGGGAATGGTGCAGTGTGATTAGCTGCCGCTTGGGGGAATGGCAGAAAGCTTAAAAGGATTACTGAACATTGGAGATGGTGAACTATTAGTATCACAAATTCATACACACACTCATTGTTGTAGACTGCAACCAAAAAGAAAAACAAATGGCCACAAATTCTTCACAGCTTCTTCTATCAAGAGGTGGAGGCTATTTCCTTATCCCTGAATCTGGACTGGCCTTATGACTTGCTTTGACCAATAGAAGGTAATATAAGCGATACTGTGCGATTTCTGGACCTAGACCTCAAGTGCAGGTGGGCTTGCAGCTCCTCCCTAGCATCAGGAACCCCCCTGCCACCGTGTGAACAAGCCTGAGCTAGATATTGGAGACTGAGAAACAATGTGGAGAGAGGCCCGGCCATCCCACCAATTCCAGCTGATGCACCCTGATGGGAGATGAGGCTGTCCTAGACTATTCACCTCCAGCCAAAGCATTCAGATGAACCACAGAATTGTAAGACATAGTATATGTTTGTGGTCTTAAGCCTCTAGTTTTTGGGGTGGTTTGTTGTACAGTAAAAACTAATTCACTCATTCTTTAGATAATTTTTAAGGCATATTCATAACTACCTGGTTGTTTCCAGTCATTGTGCTTTTGTCTCAGTTTTCATGTACTCCTTGATCCTTTTATTTTCTTTCCAATAAAAACAATTTTTTAAAGATTTTATTTATTTATTTTTAGAGAGAAGAGAAGGGAGGTAGAAAGAGAGGGAAACACCAATGTATGGTTGCCTCTCACACACCCCCCACTGGGGACTTGGCCTGCAACTCAGGCATGTGCCCTGGCTGGGAATCGAACCAGCAACCCTTAGGTTTGCAGGCCGGCACTCAATCCACTGAGCTATAGCAGCCGGGGCCAGAGAAAAAAATTAATAGCTAAAAACGTATGTTTACAGAGTGATCAATAAAAGACTTTTAAGCATAAAATTGTATCACATGAAGATACAATTTTATGGGAAGTAAAACAGAAGAAAATGAATTAAAGGCAAAAATTTAATATATTTTCTGGCTATTAAAGAAGAGCTTTTGTTTGTTTCTGAAAGTGTATTCTTTTTCTATTACCATTTAGTCCCCCGATACCTGGCCCCAACAATCCCCACCCTGTCGTCCATGTCCATGAGCCCTTTTTCCTTTTTCTCAGGCCTGTACCCCTGCACCTCCCCCCCCTCAGCTATCGTCCTACTGTCTTATGAGTCTGAATTTTATTTTGCATGTTAGTTCAGCTTGTTCATTAGATTTCACATATGAAATCCTTGATCCTTTTAGAATGTAAACTCAGGAAAAAAATTTTCTCCAAGCAAGCTTGTATGTTTCCTATTACTACAAAAGGAAAATCACAAAACTCATTGTGTGTATGTGTGTGTTACTAGGATGTTTACAGCCAAAATGTATCAGTGTTCAGTTTCAGGAATTATGCTGATAAAATTCTCAACTTCCTCATAAGACTATCTTTGCCTTCTAACTGGCAAAGATTATCTTTTAATCTTTATTTTAATTATGCTATATTACTATATACATATCTATTGTAGCCACTTGGAATCCTTTCTGAAAATAGACATAGTTAAAAATATGAATAGTCTCCTACCTAAACTCAACCTTCTAGCCCTTTACCATGTCATGTGTCTCTCTAGGAATGTGACCTACAAAGATCTCCTTCAGGGCCTTTCTCTGATTTACAGCCAGATGGCAGCCAAGATAAGAAGCAGCTTGGGTGAGGACATCTGGGATGTTTTGGACTTAAGGTTAGCTGACCGAGAGGGTTATGTCTAAAATTGGGTTTAGCTTCTCTCTAGAGTATGGAGTCTAGAAGCCTTCGTTCACATGCTCGCTCTAACATTTACCAGCTCACTGCACTTAATCCCCCATCTACTTTAAGAGGATGGTTATAGTACATGCACATGGTACAGAGTAAACACTCAAAAGAAATGTTAAGCTTGTCTGCACTGGTGTGGCTCAGTGGGTTGAATATTGTCCCACAAACCAAAAGGTCACTGGTTTGATTCCCGGGCAGGACACATGCTTGAATTATCGGCCAGGTCCCCAGTTTGGGGCATGCAAGAAGCGACCAATGGATGTTTCTCTCTCTTTCTCCTTCCCTTCCCCTTTCTCTAAAAAATGTTAGCTTTTTACTAGTTAGCCTGCTATATTTTTCTCCTTCCCCATAAACCTGGCCACTTAACCTCCACACTACCCTAGGGTCCCAGCCCCCAAATCCTCTGGCTTCTACCAATGAGATACGAGGCACTATCTGTCCTGCTCTGGCTGTTTCTTCACACTGTTGATGTATCCTGGGCTGCCTGGCTGGCCATGATGTCCACATGATGAGGGACTCCATGCTATGGCAGTGATGGGACTGTGTGACACTGTGCCTGTTAGTGGCCATGACAGGATGGCAGGACACCTGGAGCCTCATGAAGAAAAAAGTGAACAGGGAGGGCTTTGAGAGACACCCCTTTGTTTGCATAAATGGACAGGATGCTGGGACTCCTCACATGACGAGCAGGAATAGACACTTAAAACCTGGACAACGAGTCAGGACCAGGCAACAGGTAACAGACACTCATGTAAATCAGAATAATAGCATGTATTTATTTCATGGCATTTATAGACAAAATACTGAGCCCTGGAGCATTCAGAGAAGTATCTTGCACAGTTTCTGCTCTCAAGGAGAACCATGGGGAGAGGGCATTTCCAGGAAAATGACCAACAACCAGGCATTACCTAATATTATGCCAGGCATTATCTATATTATGCTGTGAATAATATAGGGACTGAATTACAAGAGTTTAAACTAAGGTTGCAAAAATCAGGGAGGGTTTTCTGTAGATGAGGTGAGCTGGCCTGGATGGCGGAGAAGAGAGGAAGACAGCAGGGAGAAAACAGGAGGAAAGGCCTGCAGGAGAAAAGGAGGCCGCGGACTTGTCTGGAAGGAAGCAGGCAGTCCAGCCAAACTGGAGCAGACTTTGACTTGAAAAGGACCAGGAGAGACAGTCTGCGTTATTCTGCAAGTAATGTGGAACCACTGAATATTTTATAAGTAGAGGAATCTACTCATACAGTTCCTGTTTTCCAGAGAGTTCTCACCAAAAAAGAACCTTGAAACAGCTAAGAGTACACCCTGGGCCCAGCCTCCTAATATCTTGAGTACTGCTTTGCCTCTGTTACCAGCCCTCCTTCTGCACTGTCCTCACTGCCTCTAAGGGATCATTTCTGCCAGTGCTTATATCTATCCTTTCAGGACTCCTCTTGCTGCAAGCAACTGAAAACACAGTCAAAGCAGCTTAGGCAGGAAAGGAGCTGATTAGCCGGCCAGTCCAGGTGACTGATGAGTTAGGTGGTGGGTCTGACTTTCAGGCTCAAACTTGTTGTCAGACCCTACTGGTGTGGCTCATTTCATTGGGTGCTGTCCTGTAAAGTGAAAGGGAGTCAAGGGAGTCAATCTTGACTCCCTTTGACTCCTGTGCCTGTGGGTTTGGTCTGGCTTTGGTCCCAAAGATGATGTTTCCTCCCACCTTCCCTTCCCTCTCCCTAAAAATAAATAAAATCTTAAAAAACAGAACAAAACAAAAACCAACTTTTCATCAGGTCTGTTTCTCTTAACTGCTCATTTTGTCCCTTTTGTTTAGTTTCATTCTCAGTCTGCATTTGGTGGCCCCGGCAGCAGCTGGTGGTCCTGAACAAGGTGGAAAGATGACCCATTCTCCCATGTCAGTCTTGCAGGGAAAAAAATAGACTCTTTTCCACCAGCTCTAGCAAAAACCCAAAGATTACCAAGACTGGACTAGTTTAGGTGACTTATCCATCCTGAAGACAGTGTGGCCAAAGAGATGTGTTGCCCTGAATGACCAGGCCTGAGTACTGCAGAATGCCTATGTTCTGGAAAGTAAGTCAGGACTGGAATTACAGTTGTTCCAGGTAGGAGTGCATAGCTCTAAACAACCCGACTTATCCTCTCCTGTTCTCCTTACTGCCCTGATGCCAGTGGATCTACCTACATGCCACATACCAGACAAGGCCCCTGATGGCTATGGAGACCCCTTGGGGACATCGTGCTATACTGGCAGGCCCATAGCTGCCCCTGCACACTCTTTACACACCAGTGGCCTCTACACTCCAAGGTCTGGGACTGGCCAGGGGCCTCCACACCATGATCATGCTGGTGCCCGCTTTACCACCTTCCCTGAGTCCGTCTTCATCTGATGGCTGGCAGGGACCTCAACAGCTGTAGTTGCACTCTTGTGCACCACGTTAGTCAGCACTGCTTTAAGTCTGTGAATGGCAAACTGGTTCTCTCTCCAGGTGAACCGGCTCCTCTGAGTTGCCTTTGAGGACCTTTGTGTGGCCTTTATGGACACCTGGGAAATGACCTCCGGCCTATCCCTGCCCAATAGCATCCTTTTTATCTGCTGTCTCAGTACCTGGAATACTCCTCTACCAGATCCTTATACAGCCACCTGTCTCCTCATTCAATTCTCTGATTAAACATTATTTCCCTGACCACCCTCCCACTCCAGCACCCTATCCCCTTCTCAGCCTACTTTTTTCTTGTATTACTAACCACAACCTGTAATTATTTGGTTTACTACTATTACTGTGGTTGTTTACTCCTCTGCCTCAATAGAATGTAGTATCCACGAGGGACAGGCAGTTTGTTTAACTTGTTCACAGTTGTAGCCCGGTAACCTAGGGCAGTGCTTGACACACAGGAGTTAAAGTATGTATTGGATAAATTGATGAATGAATAAAGTCAGGTGACTATGATGTTACTTCTACTCCCTGCACCTTCTCTCAACAACCTGCATCCCATTAGAAATAGGCTATTGGCCAAAAAGTGTCCCTCTCCGCTTTTGCTGATTACGTCTGCATGACTGCCACTATTAATGCTTCACATTTACATTAGAGTATGACTTTCAATGTAGTTTCCTATTTTTATTTGGGACAACTCTCCCAAGAACATTCTCCCATTTTATTAATGAAGCCCCCAGAGGTGGCACACATTTTGATCCAGTCCATGGTCCTAGTTTGCAAAAACAGTGATATTGGTGAGAGCACCCTATCCTCGCTGGAAAACCAGCCTTCTGGCTCTGGCTGACTGGTCCTCCACATCCTAGACGTGAGTTCCTTGGCTGGGGAGTTGGAGGGCCCGGTCTCTCCCAGGGCTTATCCGTGCATTGTGGGATCCTCGTTTCCGACCATGGGGCCCTGCCGGCTGTTCCCTGGACCCTTTGTTTCTGGGTTCCAGGCTTCCCTGACCACCTTGAAGGGGGCTCCGTGACCAGGCACAACCACGTCGGCAGTGCCTAGGACCCTCTTCCGACTCCGCTCCTGGGCCACTGGGTCTTCACTCATGGCCTGCCACGAGTTCTCGTCCCCATCGCGTTCAAACACATCGCCCACAACCGCTACGGTGCCCAGAGTCGTGCCCGCCACTACCACGCTCACGTCCCGCTGGCCCCCATGGCCTGGCGTAGCCCACACCTCGAGTCCTGGCCCCAGCCGCAGGGGCTGCTCCTCACCCAGCCCGTGGGGGAGGTAGCGGCCCCCGGGAAGACAGAAGTCATGCGAGACCAACAGAGCTGCCCCTGGAAAAAGCCCCAGGTTTCCGATATGATCCGAATGTCCATGGGTCCCCACCACCAAAGTCACGTCTGCAGGGGCCACGCCTTGCCCTGCCAGGGCCCCGAGGAGCGCCTCCCGAGACCAGGGACCTCCAGTGTCCACGAGGATAGGGCCACGGGCTACCTCCTCCAGCATCGTCTTCGCCTTGCCGCCCTCCGGCGGGGGCTCTTGGTGGCAGGCCTGGCCCCAGGCCTGGGGCAGAACGAGGGTCACAGAGCCATCGGCGCACACAGCGTCACCAACCCCCTCGGGTTCTGCGTAGCCCTGCAGTAGAACCACCACGGAGTAGGGGTCACCAGGCACCCGCAGAGGGGGATTCCCATGCAGCGGCTCCGTTCTCACTAGACCGCTCATGACCGGAAAGGAACGAGCTGGGGAAAGAAAGTGGGGCTGTGCAACATTACCCAGTCTCTCGGGGTTTCCCACACGTACGACTGCCACCAAGTGGCATCTCCAAGACTCGGTTCTTTCCCACCCCCTCGCACTCTTAAAGTGCTATCGCCCTCAAACCTTTTCCGAAGATGGTACCACCCCACCTTTTCTTCCACCGGACACCACGTGGCCTTCAACGTCTTCAGCCCCTGCCTTGTTCCTCTTGCATGGTAGGTCCACACTCATCACCCTCCAAAGGATGTTTTAGTTCCCTCACTACAGCCGAAGCCACTACCTCGGACCCAAGTTTACACCTCTTAGATCTTACTTCCTTCTAAGAACGGAAATCGGAAAAGCGCGAGATTTTGGCCTTTCCGAGCTACCGTAAACCCCAGTACGGTGGCCGAGATGACACCACAATGAAGCTTAATCTTAGCGCATTTTCTGGCATACGTGGATAGAAGCAACATAGATCTAAGCCTAAGAATTGTGCTCAGCCCAAGTATCCCTGCCAGGTTCCTTGGGCTACATTACAAAGCACCATTATCTCCTAACAGGACAGAGGCCAAAATCCTCATTCTCTGGGAGGGGCGCTGCCACATCAGCTAGCTATAACGAGTGCACGGCAGTTATTTGAAACTTCAGACTCAGCTTTTTTTTTTTTTTTTTTTAAGTTTACTAGCGCTATAGAAAATTTGGCACCTGTGACTATGTGGTAGGCTGTTGGTGAAATTAATAATAAGTAAACCAAGTATCTACCCCACCTAACATCGGCGTTACCCAATTCCCATCCTTGGTCATAGTTTGTTAGCATATAGCCTCCTGGACGCAGGCGGTGTATATAGGTCGTAGATAATGCCCTTTTGGCTTCCTCCTTGTAAGGGTCTAAAAAAGGCAAAGTGACCTTCCCAAGGCCCACAGCTCCTATGCCATTGTTGACCTCTGGGTGGGTTGGGAGTAGTAGAGATATTTAAAGGGAAAAGCCTTCAACACTGTCTCCACCACACCTACGATTAAGGGGCTAGAAGGCAGGAAGAGGGCTCATCTGTTGGGGTAAGGCATCGGCCTACTGTTCACATCTCTCTCCCCACAGCCCAATCATGCTGTACCATCAGGATCCTGGCCGAGACCAGATGGGAGAGAACAATTACAAGCTCTGGGATGTCACACACACCCTTAAAGCTGTACAACAGGGAGAGCTCAGACTTCAGAGTGTTCTTCTTCATGACTCCTGTCCTTCCTGGACACACAAAAGCGAGGGGTCAAAGATCCTCTGGGTCATGCTTGGGATGTCCTGGTACGTTAGGCATCTCTTCTTCCTTTTCCTTCTCTTCCTCCTCTTGATCTTGATCCTTCTCCCCTCCTGTCTTTTCTTGCCCATCTGTGATCTTCTCATTTCCAGTCCAAGTTTCCTGTAGACATGCTAGGTTGGGTGATAGAAAACAATTTAGACACTGGTCCTGTGGGTAGGGGATGTTGTGGCCTGGCAGGAAAGGGGCCAGCCCCCACTCTTACCAGTTTCAGCAGCTGGGAGCACATGACCTTCACAGAGAAAACGCTGTAGGGGCTGCTCCTGATGGTGGAAGTACCAGTCTCCCACGACGTCTTCAAACTCCTCCAGCATTGTCTCACACTGGTCAAGTGGAAAAGTCAGAAGGGTATCTGCTCTGCTGGGCTTTGGAAACCCTCCTCTTTGCTCTTTACTCCCTGTCTCCTGAGCCCAACTTGGAGAGGCAGGTAGCCAGGAAGTTAAACTTGGCCTACTAGATGTGCAGTCCTTCTTCATTCAACAAACATTTGTTAGCACCTACTCTACGGAGTAGGTTATTAAACTCTGAGTCTCAGCTTCTGGCCTATAATGGGAAATGGTAATCAGGTTGTTGAGTGTAAAATGAGGCAGCAGCTAAAATATGTGTGGCCCTGAATTTGTACATAGTAGGTACTCAATAAATGGTAGTGCATATTATTAGCCTCCATTATTACTTCTTGATATGCTCCTGGGTGCACCTCAATCAATGAGTCCTCATTCTGCCCCCTTCTCCCTGCTCAGAGCTACACTTCCCTATGATCTAGCCTCCTTTTGAGTTCCCTTCTCACTTCCCTGGGCTGTATCATCTCCTACCTGCTTCTTGAGGAATGTGACCTCCACACTGGGCTCGTCCCACAGTTCCAGAGGGATCCCCAGATCCACCTTCACCCCCTTCTGCACCAGGCCTTTCAGCGTTGCCATGGTCTCACTCTGCCCCTGAGAGATGGGAATTTGGGATCAGCCGAGTCCACAACCCCACTTCCTCTTTCCCATTTCTGCCATATCAATTTTGTCAACTACTAGAGACTGAGAGGTGAGTTTCATGAGGGTGAAATGAGGGAATCTAAAGACGAGGAGAGGACACTAGAGCTGGGGAAGATAGGCCCCAGAGGATACAGGTCTGAGAATGGAATCCTCCCTGGGGAAGAGTCTGACCTTGGCATATCTCAGTGAGCCCTTGCGTTCAGCATGAACACTGTAATCCAGGATCTTCTCACATAAATTCTCCAGGGCCTCTTCTAGCCTTGTCTCTCTGTGGAAAAAGGGGAAACAAAGACTCCCTGAATACTGTACGAGCTCTCAGGGCTCCTTTGGGCGCTGGAACGTGGAGAAGCACAAAGAAGGACTCACGAAACACTGTAAGGAACGTTTCTCTTCCTCTTGCCTGTGTCCAGCACCTGCCCCAGTTCCAGCACCTCTCCAGATCGGCTAGTACGACTCAGCACTTCTTGTAGCTCCAGGCTCAGCAGCTTACACACTAGATACAGCAAGGGGATGTGAGACATAAAGTGCCAGCAACTCATTCAGCACATGAACAAAGGCAGCAGAACATGGTGGTTACAAGTGCAGACTCTGGAGCCAGTATGGTAAGTTTGCCATCCTGACTCAGCCACTTAGTAGCTATGTAACAATCCTGCTGTGCTGTGATTTCTTCACCTATAAAATGGAGATAATAATAGTACCTCCTCACAGGGGTCTGGTGAGGATTAAACTAATCAGTCTATGTAAAACCCTTAGTTAGTGTAGTGCCTGCACAGAGTAAGCACTACATAAGTCTTTGCTGTTGTTCTGCAATTATTTGTTGAGCCACTTGTGGATGAACAATGGCAATACAGAAAGCATTGAGACCCACCATCCCTATCCAAGGGCCATTGCCAATGTAGGTAGGGACAGATAAAAAGATGGCAATATGGTGTGATAGATCCTACACTAGAGGTTTAAGACAAAGAGACAATCTCATTAGGAAATTCAAAATTCACTCAATGGTTACATATTGACTTTTCCTGCTAGCCTGAGATTTTCTTAAGGGTGAGTACTGTATCTGACCACTGTCTTTTCAGCACCTAGCATGTGACATGGCACATTATGGGTCCCAAGAAAGGGAGTGGCCTATACAGATGTGCCAAGTGAATTAAACACAGGAGCAAGTAACAAAAATGCCTAAAATGTGCCAAGCACTATGCTGAGACCTGGGAGACACAAGTACTCTCTTTCCCTCCAAAGGCTTACAAGACAGTGGGAGGTGACAGATAAGAAAGACTTCCAAAAGAGGTAACAGTTAAACTGGATCTTGAAGAACCACATGCAGAAGGTAAAGGGTTATTCCAGGCAAGGGAAAAAATAACGTGCAAAGGCACAGAAATGCAAAAGGATAAGACAGGTTTGCTCACCACTAAGAAAGAAGTTCAGTGTGATTCAAGCATGGGCACTTTGGGAATGGGAGTTGGGTTATGAAAAGGTAAAGGGTGCATAAAACAAAGATACATTTGCTCTGCACTAAAAAAAAAAAATGTTGGCTGTATTCTGATTACTGCAGGAGACCTGCACAGATGTTAAAGTAAGGACTGGCAAGATTGGGTATTGTTTAGAAAAACTGACAAAGGTGCAGGGAGAACCGTAAGGGCACAAGTGAAAGAAGAGAAATTTGGACCAGGTCTTGAGAAATAGTGATACTGAAATTCAGGTTAAGAGAAAAGGAGAAGAAAGTTCCTTCCAGGGAAGAAATTAAAGTCAGGAAGGCAACAAACTAGGGAACCAGAGCACTCATCAGCCACCTTTTAAGTGCCCTCTCCCAGCTGGGCCCTGCACATAATAATGCAGCAACAGAAGATGCCTCTTGCTGTAAAATCCATACCGCACACACCCTTTGAAAAGCCTGTATGGCTACTCTTTCATTTATGAGCTTCGAAAGCTGATTTACTCATTCCTGAACCCCCTCAGAAGGGCGCAGGACCTGTAATTTGGGAGTGTCTCTGCCGAGGTGGGGCAAAGGATATCCACAAGGTATGAGCCTCACACACCGCTCCTGCAGGATCTCCAGATTTAGGTCTAGTGACAGGGGAAAAACACACACTGAAGATGCTCAGTAGAATGGGTGGGCCCGTGCATAGCCCCTGAACTACAATTCCCACAAACCACTGGGGCTGCAGCCAGCCAGAAAAAGCGGGCTCTCTCAGGTTGTCTCGTGGGAATTGTAGTGCCATAGTTTGGGGTTACACTATAGGGTCCCTCCCTTCATCCAATTCGGTTTCCCTCAGGTCTTCAAGGAGATTTGAGTAACCCACCCATCACTGTCAGTTTGGTCCGGCCCAGACAAAGGAGATAGAGCAGAGGGATGCTAATAGGGGCTACTCCCTTCAGATACCTTCGCATTTGCTGGGCAAGCGTTCTGTGTCATCGTCCTCCTTCGGCGTCCTAGGGGAAGCTGGGACGTACACAGTCAAAAAGGAAAGCAACATTCCCAACCACACAGGTCCCATGATAAGGTGCAGTCCACAACCTACCAAACCTTGTCTTCAAACAACTTCGGGAAGGCAGCGGGCCCTTTTAATTCCGAGAGGGTAGGCGGTAACTTTAACCTGGCACGGGAGGCGCACGCGCAATGCCGACCCAAAAGGGCGTGGGGCCGCTCTGAGCTCAGGCCTATCCCCGCCTTGGTTTTGTGGCGCCTCCCGAAGGTCCTGGCCGCGGGGTAGTGAAGGAATAAACAGAAGTAATTGCAACAAAAGTGTTTGCTCCTTACATACACATTGAAACAGTGTTTTTATATCGTTTGAGGCAGTGAGTCTAGAGGACTTATTCCGGCTCAGAGAAGGAGTAGTGATCACTCCCAGTCTCTGCCAGGACCTGCTCCTGGGAGGGGCGGGGCCAACATGGCGCCGAGCGCCGGGTGAGCGGCGCTTTGGCGGTGGTGAGAGTTTCTTTCTGCGCGGGATGCTTCGCTAGCAGGGGAGGGTCGAGTGGTACACGGACTAGACCCCTTGACGGGCTTGTGTGGGGACCCGGAGGAGGACGGTTGGTTGTGTGTCC